GCCACACATAAGAGAGAAGGATGATTCAGAAGAAAGATTCAGGTCAGAGGAAGCAAACAGGGGACACAAGTAGGGATAGATTTTAACAATCTTTTGTTACATTATTTGCTCATTATTTTGTGTACACCTGCTCTTTGATCTAATGTTGATCTCCAGTCTGTTAACCTCTTTATTGCATCTCAGGTACTCAGCCCAGTTGTGGCACTTTCATCCATCCTGCCTGCAGCTCATGGTCACCTACTCTTCAACAAAACCTCAACCCTGAGACAATCTGTCCGTAGTTTCACTTCCCCGTTCCTGGGTAGTAGAGGGATAGTGGAGAAACTACACAAACTTGGGCTAGAACTCATGATGCTCTCTGTTCCTTTTGGACCCTCAACACTCTTCAGCAAGCCTCCCTGTCCCCATTCTCCACTGCAGCCCATGAAACCTTTGCCACTCTCCTCAAAACTCACCACAACACCCAACATCAAAACTCTCACACAAACCTGGTGTTACTTTTCTCTTAGCAAATTAAACTCATAAGGGAATAATTTCTCAATATTCTCCCCTGCACATAATTTCCACACGACATTTCCATTTTGTTGTTTGTTTTCTCAACTCAAGATAAAAGTGTGTATACCAAAATATGTTCTCATTCTTATTCTCTGCTTCTCAGCAATGTTGCTCCATCAATTTTTTTCAGCTGCTGTATTTTCTTTCTTTCCAATATCTATTTCAACACCTGCTCTTTCCCTTTAAACAGTAAAAATACTATTGCCTCTTTAGTCATTAAATGAGGAGTTTCTGGGTGGTGCAAATGGTGAAGCACTTGGCTGCTCATTGAAAAGTTGGGAGTTTGAACCCACCCAGAAGCTCCTTGGAAGAAAGGCCTGGTAATTTTCTTCCAAAAGATCACAGCCATGAAAGCCTTATGGAGTGTAGCTCTATTCTGAAACAATGGGGATTCCATGAGTTGGAATAGACTTAAAGGCAACTGATTAGTCATTAAATAAATCTCCCTCAATCTTGTAACCCTTTCTAGCCACTGGCCCATTTCTTATTTCTGTCCTTCCTTACTGAGACATCTGCTTACTGAATCCAAAAGTGTATTTATAAAATGCAAATGTGAATGTGTCTGATCTTTAAAATCAGTCAGTGTCTATCCAACACCTAACAGATGAAATCCAAGTTCTGTCTCATGCAGACATACTCAAGGACAGAGTTCGGACAATAGAGTGTACCTTTCAACAAAAGTAAGTTGTCTATCTTTAGCAGGAGCAGAGGGTTACAGGCAGGGGAGTAGGGAGAAATCAGCCTGGATGAAAAGTTTGGGTTTATATTGTGGAGGGTTTTAAGCCAAATACAAGGACTTTGTACTTTATTCTTTAGGCACTAAGAATTCATAGAATGGAT